ACTGGGTCAAACTGACTAGATTATTAGGCTAACTGTGCATAAAAATGCTTCAGCTAAAAGCAACACTACCTAAAAATGGGAAGTAAAGATGCCATGTTCCCACCCCCCAGCCCTGTGTGATTTGGAAAGATTGCTCACCTGAGCAGCTGCCTTCATTTACAAAACCTAAGTGCCACTATGCGATTCTTTTGTTTCTTTTGTAAGTTCTTTCCCAGCGGTATAATCCGTTTTCACTGTCTTTGATTCTGGTGTTCTGCATGTTGTATATACGTTTTTGTAATTTGGGGAGGGGAAGCGGAATAGCAGAATGCTTAAATGGGATTCAGGCTGACCCATTGTGACAATGAGATATACAGGACACTATGCTGAAAACAAACTTTACAATGTCAGGGGTGGGGGAGGGAGGAGTTGGGGAGGTGGGGAGGGAAGTGATGGTGGGGGGAAATCAAAGGAGGAGGTAACAATACTTGATGCTTGATAGGAAATGGACTCCTACCTGGCTCAAGTAACTGTAACCCCTCTGTACAGTATCTTTACAATAAAAATATATGATTTTTTTTAATCTAAAAAGAAAAACTAAACCTAAGTGCCAGACTTACTGGTTGGCTCCCAGAGCTAGCATTTGATAATGTCTCGTGATCTCTTAACCTGGATTGTAGAGTCATGTGCTTCCCAAGGAATGCTATTTGGCATTTTGCAATTAAGCTCTGGAGCCAGTTTGTATTACTCATAGACTTTTGCAAGTCTCTGGTGATTTTCATATTAGAGTGCCAAACTGAGCTGAAATGAACTATTACTTTGACAAATGAAGGCTTACCTCAGAATTTGAATTAAGAGAAAGCTTAGGCTAACAGTTAACCCTAGACTAATATTTATTTTACTAATGTTAGTTTTATCTCACATGGTGCTATTTTATTTCCTCCAGAGAATTGTTTATGCCATTATAAAATTCCAGTGAATGCCACTAAATTCTAGGCATCAGACACACTGCTAATGAACACCATTAACGGCCTATTCAAAAATCAAAGGAAGAATAATTGAAACACACTCAGTGAAAATGAATGAATGGATCCTATGGCTTGCTGCCACATCTTTTCTTTCAGAGGGTGTCCAGTAATGGCTGCGGATGGGAAGCAGTCACAATCCATACTGATGGAAATACATAATCAGCATTAGAGTATCAATTATAAAGCCCTCTCTCTCCTCCCCCACCCTCTCCTACTAGAATTAGAAGCTTGCCATTCAGATCTCCAGCAAAGATTTTCGGAAGCCAGGGTCTTGATCAAAATCAGGTCCCCAGCCCTGTAGACCAATGATAAATTTAATTGGTACATAGCAGAGTCTAGCAGGGACTTGGGAATCAAGTATATTTAAATCTGAATTCTAGCTCCATCACTCTCTAGCTGTGGACCTTAAGATGCATTATTGTCTCTCTGGCTCTCTACGCTCCATATCTCATCTTTATTTAAGAACCTAACTTAATATTCCTAAGAATATTGAAGAGAACAAAGGAGGGAACTGTAGGTATAAACAAATGACACGGTACTTGGAACAATTTCAATTCACTCCCTTTCCTTTTCTTCTGGCCCTGCATTAGTCATTCTAGAACCCACTAAGAAAGAAGGCAGTCGAGTGTGGTGGTACATGCCTGAGACAGAGGGACTTGCAAGGGAAAGGCAAGAAGAAGGAGGATGAGTTTGAATTCAGTTTATGCAAATAGTGTGCTTCTATCTCAGAAATGAAATGAGTGGTAGAGTGGTTACCAAACATGCATGGGAACTGGGTTCAGGTCCTAGTACTAGAACCAATCAAACAAGCAAATAAACAAAATAACCAGGTAACTTACATAGGCATTTTCTTGGTCCACAGTTCTGGAAGCCAGAAAGTCCCAGAACGTGGAGCCGGCACTAAGAGGGCCTCCTGACCATCACATGGTGGGGTCAGAGGACATCACACCCTACACTTTTCTCTTTTCTCTGCGGATGACTGAGACCTTCACCAGAAACTGGGTTCCAAGCCAAGAACAGACACCTGGTAACCACAGTGTCCACTTAAAGCCCAACATTGTAAGCCTTCATCTACAAGTTGCTTACTGGAAAGACTAGAATTCACTGAGTGCCGGTCATTCACACCTGTAATCCTAGCTATTTAGGAGGCTGAGATCTGAGAATGGTGGTTCAAGCCCAGATAAATCTGAGAGATTCATATCTCCAATTAACCAGCAAAAGGTGGAGGTGGAGGGTGGCTCAAGTAGTAGAGTATCATCTTTGAGTGCAAGAGCCAAATGAGAGCACAAGTCCCTGAGATAAAGCCCAGTGTGAGCACACACACACACACACACACACACACACACACACACACACACACACACACACACACACACTACAATTTCAGTTATAGTCTTTATACTTAAGATATAGTTGCCATTACACTTCAGTGTAAACAAATAACATTTCTCATATTTTTTTAAAGAACTTTAGAAAATAATTTGAAGTGACATCTTGGATCACTTTTACTGGGGGAAAGGCTGACTAAATGATCATATTCAAACCCCTCAACACATTTCTAGCAGGCTGTAGCTCTTTCTTTTATCCAGCCTCCTCTCTCACCCATCTTACCATACCATTCCATTGTATCTCATCATACTCTAGCCTTCCCTCCCTTAGCTAACAGGGTCTTGGGCTGGTGTAATTCTAGTTTTATTTTTAGTTCTGCCGGAAAGATGTGGCACTAGGGGGTCAGAGTCCTTGAGTAAAGAGAGAACCGTTTTCTAAAGGTCACTTGAATGATTTGAAATTACAAATTTTCAACCACAAGGGAATTATTTACACTTTCAGAACCAAGATTTTCTGCCAGAAAAATGCTATTAGCATGACGGGTCAGGTGAAGTCTGAAGGAGATGGCTCTTTAGATTTTTATTTTGCCTGTATCAGTCTTGAACTCAGGGTCTGGATGCTGTCCTTGAGCTTTTCCACTCAAGGCTAGCATTCTACCACTTGGAGCCACAGCGCCACTTCCAAGGAGCTGGCTTCTTGTGAGCAAGGAAATCCCACCCTGAAGTTTGTCATGCCCTCTGCTTGTGACAGAACAAGTGTTTCTCCTCTTTGTCATAAGTATTTTTTTTTTTAATGTCATACATGGATTTCTGAGTGAGCACTAGATCTTCGTATGTTTGCTGACGAAAAGCAGATCAGGAAATGAGTAATTCTTAATCACATTCTAACTGCAGAAATACGTCACAATAGAAAAGGAATAATAAAGTCTAAAATTAAATTCTCAAGACCTTACCAATGTAAATGTGGCTTGCTTTATACACAGTGTATTGCATCTAAATGTAAAGACAGATTTGTTTATTTTTAAGTTAAAAAAGATTTCTGAAGTCTTGAGTAAGAGAGAAATAAAACTCAAAAATTAAAAAGGCTTTAAGTTAAATAAATCCCTTGCTTGCTGTACAAGCAAGCACTTTGACTTTATTTTGTCATAAAACTTGCCATCGTTAATTAATCATTTCCAAGTTCGCAATTCAGTGGTGTTCTGAACCTTGCATGTTTAGTGGCACTAAATGAATGTGTCTATGCAACCAAACCCCCGAACCTTTTCATCTTGCAAAACTGCAGCTTTCTCTCCATTGATAAGTCTATCTCCAGGAAAATTAGTGTTACTGTCTCAAAAGCAAAATAAAAACAAAAGGGTTGAGAGAGCAGTGCAAGTGGTAGAGGAAGTATTCAATCCCTGTTTCAAGATAAAAGAAAAGAAAGGAAATGAATTTATGGACAAGCATTCTTCACTTATTTTGTTTGTATTACTAACTTTTAGCCAAGGCTATTTATGCATTTTCACTTATTAATAAGTCAAATGTAGTCCCTTTAAAAAGGCCACACACTATAGTTTGTGTACAGGAGAGTTTATTAATGTGATATTAGATCCCATCCATTACTTTAAAATCTATGCATTGGTCTTAATTTAGGTTACAAAAATAAAAACAAAACACCAAACCCTCTATAGAAATTTGTTTCTTAAAAAAAGTGGGAAAGTAAAGGGCATATTGAAGACAAAAGTACACACTAAGCAGTTTACCCAGTCTCACCTATATGTCTATCAAACCATTTGGAGAGAAAACAAAAATAGGATTTTTCTGCTGAAGATAGAAATCACATAAACAACTCCTGATTCTTACACTTGTACCACGAACTTAATGATGTCCCAATGGTTTTCATTCTGTTTTTGTTTTTTTGTTTAACTTTTGTCTTGCCAGATATAATAAAAAGAACTTATTGCAAAGTAACTCAAAACTATCAGTTACAACAGCAGAACCAAAACCACATTCCAGAGATTTCCACTTGTCCTTAGACTAACAACAGCACCCAGACCACTGGGATTCTGTTCGTAGACTAAACCAGCACCCAGTCCACTGGGGTTCTGTTTGTAAAGTGCTAGGAAGTCTACCCATAGATGCTCTCTAAGTTTGAAAGAAAGATCATTCTTCAATTTTTCTAACACATTTTACATAAATGATTACATTGTTTCTTGGTCAAAATTCTAGGGTGAATATTTCAGAAAGGTTAATATTTCATCCCAACTTCCAAAGGGAGGATAAACATTCATGGTTAAGTGGGTATTTAAAAAAAAAATCCACTGATAGAATGCTGGCCAATGAGCAAAAGTATCAGGTACTAAGTTTGAGTCCTGATCTTGGACCGGAAAAAAACAAAACAAAACAAAACAAACACGTCATCTCGTAGGTGCTGTATGATTTCAGACACTAGTGATTCTAAGAAAAGATGAATATCCAAAGAGGAATGTTGAAAAATGCATAGCCAAATGAATAAGAAGATTCAGAGTAAATGATTGTGCTAATTGGGATAAGGTTTGAAGTCAGCAAATAAAAACTTGCCATTGAGAGTGAGAGTGAAATGGATACTGGATTTCAAATATATTTAGAATACCCGAAACAACTTAGGGAATACAAAGGTGTGTTCTTAACACACAGACTCACTTACCTGGATTGACAAGCAAAGCTTAGCAAGGCGCTACATGCTTCCTCCAGGAAAATAAATGATCTTGGCTTCTCTCCAGGGGATGCAAAGAATCTAAAAGACAGACATAAAAAGACATAACCCTTGTAAATTTCCATGTCTTAAACATAAGTATGATTACAAAATGGTATGATTTTCATGTGACTTAGCAAATAGTACACAATTCAAAGTATTATCCTCCCCCCCAATAAAAAGCAGGAGGGGATATCTCTTTCCTATTTTACTGAGCAAAATGCAAACTATTTGACTTAAAAAGAGAACACGGTGTTTAGGACAGTGAAGACCAAGGAAAGGAGTATGTCGTACAAAGCAGGACACTGGCACATGAGAAAGAACACATCCCAAGGGCCGACTCGACAGCAAACGCCACGCGCACCACCAACTGCTGCTCCCAATTTGGCGCCTCTGCCTCTGATGCAAGAACTGTATTTAGAGTCACGGCCTGGCTTCCAGGTCAGGGTCCTGGGGTGCAAGTGCCACCCCCCTGTGCCAGCACCACGTCAAAAAACATCACCCATGACATGACATACTAGAAAATCCTCCTACAAGTTCATTTGGGGAGCGGGACTCAACCCACCTTCTTGGAAGGGTCCTCTTACTCCCTGATAGTGCACAAACTCACTCTGGAGAGAGGGTGGGCTGTGCCCTGGGGATCCCCTCATGTGCCAGCCTGTCCCTCTCCACCTCCACGAAGAGCTGGAAGGGGGAGTAATTGAGCCCCTCTAATGGGAGGAAATAGATACAATCCCCTGAGATAAAAGCAGAGCGGGAAAGGGGGCCAGGCTGAAGGCTCTGGATGGAAAAGCCAGTGGGATATGTGCTGGAAAGGCCTTCCTGTGACCCTAACTATGGAACTCTTGCTCAAGTGTCTCCATGATTTTTATCCCATCTGAACTTATAATTCAAATAATTACCATATGTACCTATGTGTGTAGAAGCCAAGCAAAATGGAGGGAAGCTACATAGTCATATATATGTATATAGGTACGTGTGTGTGTGCACACACTTGTGCAACTTGTTTCCATTTCTCAAGCAGTCCAGCATGATTTGCAGAAGGTGAGAGGAAAGTCTGGTAAGCCACTCAGGTCTGCAGACTGCTGGTGCCCTGCCCCCACCCCGTCTCCATGGGGACAGTCTCCTGGGGACCAAGTTGGAAGGTTTTCTCTGACTCACTGGTATTAACAAAATCAGTAGACACATCAGGTGTATCATTATACACATTTAGAGTCTGTCTCCTATCCACAGGTTGCTGTGGGCTTAATATTAAAGCAGGTCACCAATTGCCTAAGACCAAAATTTCCAGACCCCAGGTCAGGGTGTCTACTTCATTTGGGCTGCCTTAGGCTTAGATCTCCATGGCTGACTTCCACCTGGGCTGGACTAATTAATGTATGTCTAAGTGGGACTGCAGTTGGCAGGAAGGCAGGCTTGTCAAAGAGGGATAATCACTGGGAGCAGCATCTGAGCTGTTTTCCTTCCTTGACAACACATAATGTAAGTTCACAGCCTGCAGGCCAAGAATTGAGATGAGTTTATAATTTGGCTTCCAATCAATCTCTTCTCATTGTCCACCACTAAAATTTCTTTTCTGTCTTCCAGCATGCAGGATGTCTTTAGACGCCAGGTACTGGCATGGTCTTTAGTGATAGCCTTTAATGAATATGCTTTGCTGTCTTAGTAGAAAAGTGGGAGAGGGAAGGACTCTACATACCTAAAGCCACTCTTGTTTTCATAATGAAAACAAATAGACCATTAGTGCATACCTCCATATGACCATTAATCTTACTTATTTATTACTCTAGTGACTCGGGCAGAAATGTTCAGAATCTTTTCATGAAGACACAAGAATCCACATTTACCCAGCTTGGAGAAACTATAGGATCCCCTAATTTCTTCTTTTTCTACAGAAAGAATTCATTAGTATTCTACTCCATGTTCAGTGCTGTGGCACACATCTGCCATTCTAGCTAGGCCTAGATCCGGAGGATCATAGTTCAAGGCCAGCCTGGGAAAAAAGTTCAAAAGTCCCCATGTGGAAGAATAAAATGCTGGGCCTGGAGCCAGAGACAAGGGAAGCGTAAAGAGAAGGGTTGCAGTTCAGGCAAGCTGGGATAAGAAGTGAGACCCTCCCTGGATCACGTGATCTCTCTTCATAAGACATCTCAGGGGCAAAAAAGAAGAAAAAGAAGAAGAAAGCAAAAGGAGCAGGGAAAGCAGTGTCTAGCAAAAGCCAGACCCTGAGTTTAATCTGAAGTATTGCCTAAAAATAACAACGATAACAACAAACAAAACCTGAGTTTCTTGGCTCTGGGAAGTGCACATCCTCTAAGCAGTTCTTCCTGAGAGGTGTCATCTCCAGCTACTAAGGCTAAAGGAAAAATACCGGGAGGCAGATTCACCCACAAAGCCCACATGGCCAAAGGGGAAGAGCATGGTGGAGAATTACAGAAGATGAACGACAGCAGGCTAAGCAGCACAGGCTGTGTTCAACTGGCCACAGCCCTATGAGGAGAAAGGGAAGGAACAGCCACAGTAGCTATCATGGGCCATATACCCATTCCTCACTGCACAGGAACTCACCTGTCCCTCCAATGACACTTAAAGATATGTGCATTGATACGTCCATAGTTATTGTTTACAAATGGAGAAAATGAAGTGCTTTAAAAGCTGACAAGCTAATTCACAGGACAGTAAGCATTTTTTTTTTAACTTTTAAACAGAAATTCACACAGGGAAAAGCAAGCTTTATGCTTCCCACTGTGTGACTGTCTTGTACGCCTAGTCTTTATGTGTCCACCCTTAGTAGCAGGGCTTGAAGGCAGGTGGCTTTGAGAGAGTGGGAGCCATTGAGGCCTAGGGAACACAGGCCTCCCTGGATCATGTGATCTCTCTTCAAAAGAAATCTCAGTACCAAAAACATATCCTCGGAAAAGTCTCCTGAATATCCAGGAAAAAGACAGGAAGGCAAGGTGCTACAAGCAAAACTAAATCCAAGAAGCATCTCAGAAAGTCACCACGGGACATCCCTCAGTTAAACACAGTGTCTCAGGGCGGGAGGAGCCGGTGTGGCATCGCACATTTTGGTTGTGGTGAGCAGTGGGTGAAAGGTGGCAGGCTGAGGCCAAGATTAGCTAGGAGAAGTCCATGGAAGTCGTTTATCCAGGTCTTTAGATGGTTTGAATGATGTTAAGTGAAGGAAGTCAGGCCCAGAGAAACAAAGGATCCATGTTTCCCCTTATATGTGGGAGCCAGATTTAGCTTACACACTCATAAGTAGATACGTTGGGTGGTATGCAAGTGTGTAGGAATGTATTAACAAACATGGTAGACTCAAGCCAAAATCAAAGTTCAGTAAAATTAAAAACCAGGAAGTGGATACTTGAAAGGGGTGGGGTGGCGGGGTCAATGAAGAGGAGAAGAGGGGAAAATGTTGACAAAAATCTAATGCATATCCTACAAAATTAAGAAGAGGGAGGGAAGAAGAGAAGAAGGGAGGGATGGGTGAAAATGCTGAAATAATCCCTCGTAGGGCAAAATGATTTTTAGTGTGTTAGAATGTGCTTATAAATCTATAAGTAAACACACTGGGTGGTATGCAAGTAGTTACAAATAACGGAAGTATAATAGGCTCTATGGAGAGCTCAAATAGTATAATTCTTTACAAAGACTATGTCAAAGCCCAACAAAACAAGCACCAGAAATGGGTAGTTGTAAGGGAGAGGGGGACCAGGAGAAAGGGGTAGATGAACGAAGGCGGAAGGCGGGTAGAATACAGTTATTAAGTCATTGTGTATGCCACAAAATTGAAAAAATAAGGTTGAAGGTCAAGATGCATTGAACACATAAACTGCTCTGTTAAGTGGCAAAAAAAATTCAATACATACCCTAAAAATTAAGAAAAGTGAGGGAAGGGGTAGGTGGGGAGGGGTGGTAACAATATTGAAAGAGGTGACATTGATCAAGAAGCACTGTATTCATAAACTGCTTTGTTGAAAGGCAACTCCTCTGCACAACTACTTAAAGATAATAAAATATTCAAAAAAAGTTTCCGCCAGGCCGGTGGCTCACGCCTGTAATCGTAGCTACTCAAGAGGCTGAGATCTGAGGATTGCGGTTCACCTTCAGTCTGGGCACAAAAGTCTGTGAGACTGATCTCCAATAAACCACTCAGAAAACCGGAAGTGGTGCTGTGGCTCAAGTGGTAGAGTGCTAGCCTTGGGCTGAAGAGCTGAGAGACAGTGCCCAGGCCCAGAGTTCAAGCCCCATGACTGATAAAAAAAAAAAAAAAAAAAAGTTTCTCCCCACCACCAAAGGTTATTTTTCTGTCATTGAGTAAAATGATAAGCAAGAAAGTCTCTGGGTCCTGATCCAGAAAACATGGATACAGATTAAGTGAGAAGATGACGTGTTTTTCCTATTCCTAATCCTTCCATTGAAATAGGTCATCTTTATCCTTATTTTCTCCATTTCAATTTCTCATCCTGGTAACTGCAGATCATCTTGGATTTTTTTTAAATGCTATTTTTTAATAGTTTGAATCCTCTTCAAATTATCCACATGACAGAAAGTGAAAATGACTCATATCACCTGCCAGCCACAGATACAAATAATATGCTTTTAGAGCATAAAGAAAGAGTGACTAATTGAGCCTGGAGAGGGTCAGAGTTATAACTAATCTCTTTGAAAGAAATCAGATTGCCTCTGTTTGCCATTGGTTGCAAGGCCAATAGCATGATGCTTCTAAATCAGTTAAGATGCAGGCAGACAGCAAGGCACCTTCACAAAAAAGAGCTGTTTCCACTACACGGCCTGTAGCACCATCAGGCAATTGTTCATTGTACTGGACTCCCTCTCCCTGTGAATCCTCTGGGCTGGCCCTGTCTGATTAAACACTGCAGCTGCTCAGCTGGGGCTTGAGACCAATCACAGACACTAATGAGGCATGAACAGTGGCTCAGGGAGATCTGTTACACTTAATCCTGTCCAGAACAAGAGGTTTGGCTTTGTTTCTTCAACAAGTGACTAGCAGACGTGCAGCCAGGCCGGAACGTCTA